GAAAAGCCGGCGTTTCCAGCGTTCTCAAAAAAAGCGACGTCCCCGCGGGCGGGCCCAAGCCCAGGGCGGCGGCCGCGAGCCCGGTTCGGCGATCCGGGCCCGGTTCCCGGTGGGTGGGGGAGGGGAAGGCGGAGGCGAACGGCCGCCCGCGGTCACGTGATTCCGGCTCCCCCCAAGATGGCGGCCGACGCGAGGTCGCGCTCGGCGGCCTCTCTCGCGAGATCTGGCTCTTCTCGCGGCCTGAGGCGGGGACGCCGCCGCCGCGATGACGCGCCGCGCGCAGGCACGGCTGGTGTCCGCGCGCGGGAGGGGGGGAGGGAAGGGAGGGGTGTCGTGCTCGCGCGCACGCGCTCTGCGCACCCGCCTGAGGCAGCGCGCGGCGCGGGCGGCGGTTGGAGCAGCGCTGAGGCGGCCCCGGGCGCGGTGCTGCCCGCGCTGGGGCTGCCGGCCTGAGGAGAAATGGCGTTGCCTCAGCTTCCCCCCTGGCCCGCGCTCCCGTTGCTGAACGCGTCTCCCTTCAGGCGGTCCCTCACTTCTATCCCGCCGCGATTGGCACTGGGGCTCCTGCCGAGCCGGGCCTGGGCACGTCCCTGCGAAAGCTCGCTGAGGCGGGTTTGTAGGGCTCCCGAGTACTGCGGCACGGTCGGTGCCGACCCGTCTTGGGGATACCTACAGCCCCCCGCTCCCTCACAGTCCCACGGCTCTCCCGTGTTCCCCTCGCAAGAGCTTCTTGGACTCCCCTGGGAGAATGAGGGGTGACAGAGTCGTGCTGGCCAGCCTGGGACTGCCACACCCCTGGGGCTGTGCTGGCACAGGCCTTTTCCCTTGCAAATGCTTTACAAGCTGCTAATGTGAAATTTTCTGCTGCAAAGAGCTAACGATGCTTGAAAACCTGATGACTACTTACACCAGTTTTACATTTGGAGAGACCTTTTTAGCACTTAAGGCCCTCAGACTGATAGATTTTTGCTAAGAGACAGTCTTCCATTACAGTGTTTTCTCAGTTGCATAAGAAGCCGAAGACTTCTAATAACGTTAACAAAATTGAAGCAGACGTAAATGAAGTGTGGGCAGTCATGGAATCTGCTTAAAATGTTCAGTACTGCTCATTCAATTTTGTACAAGTTTACTTATTCTGTTGTTAGACAAACTCAACAAGGATTAAGATAACCAATAAAGGATTAGACAGATTTAGGCTAAGCTATTTAAAGACAATGCAATGTTAATTAAACTGACTTAAGTAATTCAGATTAATCAGTGATGCTTCAGACACTAACTGAAGAAAAAGACGACAGAAGTCTGGCCAGAGATGAGAAGAACAATTTAAACACCAGTTTGTATCTTGATTATTGGCCTCTACGCGCTTTGAATGAAGGCACAATGGAGCACAGTTCCCATGCGGTGTATCTAACCTTAAATGCATCTAAGCAGCTCCCTACAATCATGGCAAGAAAGTTAATGTTTTTGATGTCTTGCGTTGAAAAGATAGTTATCCGTCAGGCCTACGAGCAGACTTTATGATCATCCTCAACTGGGAGAGGTGAGTAATCCCACTGGTGGCAACTGCTTCTTACTGGTGTGACATTAGCACATGCAGAATTACCTGCAGGATGCTGTTTCCCCAGGATTTTGCATGTGACTTAAGGATCCCACTGAATGCGCTTTTTTTTGGAAACAGATGCTCTTTTTTTTCATTGGTAGATGCTATTCTCAATGAAGTTATATTTTATAAACTATGAAATGCAGTTAGCACCTGCTGGCATTTTACTATTTCACTTTATAAAAGAATGTTGCTTATTGTAACACTCAACAGTTACCCTTAGGGCATTGTTGTTACTTGCTTTCTCATGGAGAGGTACGGTGGCTGAAACACAAATTGTCAGGATTTCATTTTGTGAATAAGGAATTTGTGTAAATGTTGTGATAGTTATCAATTTGTAAGTATGACAGGTGCCGTGTGAGAACTACAAGAACTTGCTCTTAGGTGGAAATATTTAAGAAGCGTGTCGTGATGGTATATTTGAAAGAAATTGAACTTTTCAATTCAAAGGTCCTAAAAAATAAGATTTTTTTTTTAAACTAGGTGAAGTGTAAATTTAGACTGAAAGTATTTACTCTGAAGATTTCCTTTCCTTTCTGAGCAAATCCAACGCCTTGCTCATTAATTTTTCATCCCTTCCCCCAGCAAACAATTTCACGTTTCTGCATTAAAAACAGTGTCCTCCCGGCCCTGCTGGAGATAATATTTAGGTCACTGGGTTTTTAAAGCTGGCGCTGGTGGGAGCCGTTGCTGCTCCCTCTGGAGCACAGGAACCGGCCACCGCTCTCCATGCGCCGGGCGCCCTGAGTCACGGTGACTGGCGGTTCCAGCCAGACGCGATCTCTTTGGAGCTACAGCCTTATTATGTGTGACAGCAGTTTAACTTGCCCTCGGGACTGGCTTTTTTGGACGTAAATCCCTGAGGAGAGCTAAGGGGGAGGAGGGGGGGGGGGGCGCAGCTCAGCGTGTTTTGTTAATTCATAGCGTGATCCCACCGTGCTGGTAGCGAGGGCCAATTAAGGATGACGTTGTTTTCTTTGTTGCTCTACGGAAGATAATTACTTGGCTTGCTTTGCCCTCTAGTGGCAGCTTCAGTGCGAACTGGGTTGCTTTGTTTAATATACATACATAAAATTAATATTAAAAATATCCAACTCCCCAGAAGCTGAGCAAAAGCACAGTAAAGATGTTTCCAGAGCTTTCCCAGGACATTAGGAACAGTGTTCTTCAACTACTGCAAGAAGGAAATCATCATTAGTAATTTATAAAGAATTTTTTTCCAGTCATCTCCTAGTTATGTGGAAAGAACAGTGTGAATTGGGGTGGAAAAATCAGACCAGTATCTGCCAAAGGGCTCCGGTGCTTCTCTGGAGAGCGTGGTGTACCTGCCTTGATGGAGGAGCTCATCAAATGTGAGGCCCAGCTGATGCCAGCTTGAATCTGCTGGAGTTTGTGGGGAAAAACCTAGTGCATTTTGGGTGCCTTTCTGTGAATGCGTATGTGTGCCTTGTTAGTGAAGATGCAAACATAAGGAATTATGGTGATGACACAGAACTGGGTTTCTTTTGCCTTTTCTCAAAGTGCTCGTTCACGCAGAGAGCTGTCATGCAAAGAGAGAGGGTAGACTGAGACACTTTCTGATATCTTCTCTGTGGTCCAGCTGCTTCCATGTCTTGTCTGCATCCCAGCTGCCAAGGGACAGCCTGGGAGGGATGAGGCCGTCCCTTCTTGCTGAAGTTGACAGGGGTTTGGGTTTTTTCTTCTGTTGTTCTTAAGGAAAATGAGATTTTTTGGTTGTATCGCCATCCTGAGCTGGCTGCAGGAATGCCCAAGAGACCAGCAGTGCCTGTGGCTGCAGATAAGCCTTGGGTGGGAAGCTGTCCCCTCCGCCGATAGCCACACCCAGGGCACACAGGGGTTAGTTGGGTGGGTCTTCAAAAGGCTAACAGGGATCACCTTCAGTAAGTTTGCAGACAACTCCAAACTAGGTGGGAGTGTTGATCTGCTTAGGGTAGGAAGGCTCTACAGAAGGACCTGGACAGGCTGGATTGATGGGCCAAGGCCAATGGGATGAGGTTCAATAAGGCCAAGTGCCGGGTCCTGTATTTCGGTCACAACAACCCCAGGCAGCGCTACAGGCTTGGGGAAGAGTGGCTGGAGCTGCCCGGCAGAAAAGGACCTGGAGGTGTTGGTGGACAGCCGGCTGAACGTGAGCCAGCAATGTGCCTGGGTGGCCAAGAAAGCCAACAGCACCCTGGCCTGTGTCAGGAACAGCATGGCCGGCAGGAGTAGGGATGTCATCGTGCCTCTGTACTCAGCACTGGTGGGGCCTCACCTTGAATGTTGTGTTCAGTTTTGGGCCCTTCACTACAGGAAGGACGTTGAGCTGCTGGAGCGGGTCCAGAGGAGAGCCACCAAGCTGGTGAGGGGTCTGGAGAACAAGTCACACAAGGAGAAGCTGAGGGAACTGGGCATGTTTAGTTTGGAGAAGAGGAGGCTGAGGGGAGACCTCATTGCCCTCTACAACTACCTGAAAGGAGGTTGTAGAGAGGTGGGTGTTGGCCTCTTCTCCCAAAGGAATAATATCCGGACCAGAGGAAATGGTCTGAAGTTGCGGCAGGGGAGGTTTAGGTTAGATATTGGGAAGAATTACTTTACTGAGAGGGTAGTCAGGCACTGGAAGAGCCTGCCCAGGGAGGTGGTGGAGTCACCATCCCTGGAGGTATTTAAGAAACGTGTAGATGTAGCACTTCAGGGCATGCTCTAGTGCCCGGGATTGTAGGGTTGGTTTTGTGTGTGTGGTTGGACTCGGTGATCGCAGAGGTTCTTTCCAACCGTGATGATTCTGTGGTTCTGTAGAAGACAGACTAGTCACATGTTGGTGCTCAATATAATCGTTCTACTTAACGAGGAGCGCCAAGGAGGCCCTGTGTGGTAGTTCCATGATGACATGCCCTGATGAAAAAGGAGCATTGGGCATCCCTCCATCGGTGAGCCCACTTGCCTCGTGCCCGCTTGGCTCTTTGCAGCCAGACTTTCCCGATTTTGCAGGGATTTGTACGGATGGTTTAGTGATGGTGTTGCTTTTTGTTTGTTGTGTGGGTGTTTATTTTTGTTAAAATTAGGTTGACGGTTGGACAAGATGATCTTTAAGGTCCCTTCCAACCCAGAAGATTCTGTGATTCTGTGAGACCTGTCCTCAGCTTCTCCATGCCGACGGCTGTTCCTGGCGGCGACGGCTCTGTGGTGGTGCCATGTTTAGCTGCCCTTGTTATGGAATAGAAGGACTTTAACGCTTGAGTGCTGTCTGCTCTCCAGGCAAGCGTTGAGGATGGAATTAATAGACTTAAATTTGCACCGGGGAGCTGTAAGCAGCACATGCTTAAAGCACTTCAATAATTCCGCAGAGCGCAGCTCCACAGCCCCCCCAGAAACAGGGGTCCCCCGGGCCTCGCCGTGAGGTGGCGGGGAGTGTGAGGCGGCACACAGGAGGGAGGTGGTACCGCCGGTCTACCGGAGGCCGGGCTAGGCGGGGGTCAGTCCCGCCGCCGATCCCGGGGCACGGACGGGCCGGCGGGGCCTCCTACCCACGTGGCGGGGCCCTGCCGCGGAAGGGCGTTCCTTCCCGGGCCGCCAATCAGAGCGCCGGTTGCCCTTCGCACGAGCCAATCAGCGCCCAGGGAACTCACATTTAAACCCCGTTCCCGGGAGTTGTTACCGTCTCTCTATGACAGGGAAAGGGCGGGGCGCGGCTCCGTCTGCCAATCAGGGGCGCGGAAGTGGTTATCGGCGCGCCGTTAAGCCAATGGGGCTGCGGAGGGGAGCGCGGCGTCTCTCTGCGGAGCGGTTGGTTTCGGCGGGGGAGCTCCTCGGGGACCGTCGGGGCAGCCCGGCCGCGGGGGGCTGCCGGGCGCCGGGCCGCTCCGCCGCGGTCATGGCTAAAGGTGCGCGGGCGCGGCGGCGGCGGGGAGGAGCGGAGCCAGCGGCGCGGTGGGGCCGGGGGCG